AGGTCGACTTATCACATTCTTTACAAGGTACACGTAATAAAGAATTCCAGTGAACTTTACACCCTTCAAGTCTATAGCAACCTCGATTGCAAACTTTTCCAGTTCTAAGAATATAGGGGCAACGATAAAATGCCATATTTACATGATTTTTGATATAATAATTATTATTTACTGATAACTATTCTTTAGAATTAATTTTCATTTTGAATTTTTTACCCTGGAATAATATACTAGCAGTAAAATATACTTACTATGAGTGCCCAATATTTCCAAGAAAATATCGATCACGTGCTAGCAGAATCAGAAGCACCACCTTATCGACCAGAAAGCTCAGAAAACTCAGAAAATTTCAAGCCGGATATAGAAGAAGAAAATAACAGGGCCTTCTACTACCCGGGGCCAAAGCTAATAGTGTGGCTGAATATCTATACAAAATTCGAAATGACAGTATAAGACCAAGACAATTTCTCAGCACAAATTCTGAGAATGGAATAGAAAAAATCTTTACAGAGCGTCAGGGCTATTCACTACATGAAATTATCAATGGTAATGATCCACTTCGCCTATTTATTAATTTTGATTTATCCCAAGAAACACTAAATAGTATTGAACCAAAACTTACATATAAAGAAGTTTATTATACTTTAATCAGGGCTTTCAAAGAGGTATGCATTGAAATTTATCTAGATTGGAATATTAAAACCTTAACTATTGCCAATAGTAGCGACCAAAAAAAAATGTCATACCATATCTCAACTTTTAATATGAGACTTAAAAATATAATGGCTTGTGCATTATTTACTAAACTTGTTTATAAAAAACTCCCAATGGGTTTACAGGCTAAGAAAATAGTTGATAATATTACAAATAAAAGTTTATTTTCCCTGCAAATGCTTGGAACACCAAAGATTATCAAAGACACTGGTAAACATGTTTATTCAAAGAAAGCTGTTATGCCAAAAGATGGCACCATTTTTGACTTCATGCTTCGTCCACCTAATGATGATGCAGAAGTAAAAGATAGTCCTCTTTTATCTGTTCCAGAATCGGTAATGGGTAGAATATCTGTTCCAAAATTAGAAACAAGTAGGATCTCTATCACAGATATCAAAGCTACTGAGAATATTGAAATCGAACTTAAGTTAATTGCAAAATTATTAAAAGAATTCGAAATTGGGGGTATAAACTTTCATGTTTGCGAGATAATTTTCCTGATACCTTCCCTCTCAAACGCATAGCCCCAGCATTTTGTCCGTTATGTTATCGAGAATATAGTTATAAAGATCCACATACAAGTAATAATGCATATATTATCTGAAACAAGAAATCATATAGTTTCTATTGTTATTGTGCAAATAATAATAGGGAAGCTGGATCTAGAAAACCTTTAAAAAGTTGACTATTAAAGAAAAAACTTCGAAACAAGAAGAAAGCCTCCTAGTTCCAGAAAAAATAAATCAATCTAGAATAACAGACCCAAATGATCATTTTGTATGGGGCGACTTAATTGACATGTGCTCATCAGAAGAAAAGTATACCCATAATAAAGTTTATGAAGCTATCCAAGCAACAATTGCTTATATTGATAGAGGTAAAAAGTTTTGGATATTTAAAGTTGAAGATGAAGATAAAGATGGCGGACTTACCTTTAAATTTGTATCCAAACTAGAACTTGCTAGTTATGAAATAAATATAATCGAATTTGGTGAAGAATCAATAAAGTTAAGATTATTAATAGATCGAGCAGTTACAAAAAGTCTAATTCATTATTGCAAAATCAACTTTCTTCCATACCTACCAAATGTAATTCCACCCAAACCAAATTTCTTTAATCTTTTCCTGCTAATTCAGCACTAGAAATTAATAAAGAATTAATAGATCCTATCCTTTGGCATGTAAAAAATGTAATCTGTAATGAAAATAAAAAGCTCAACAATTATATTTGAAACTGGTGAGTATATTTAATACAAAAACCAGAAAAGAAACCTCATCCAATATGTGTATTAAAGTCTACTCTTCAACAATGCAGAAAAAATATTATCATTGATTTTATTGGTAATAAAATCTTAGAACCAAAGCTCTATTATGCAATATCTAATCTAGAAAAAATTCTTGAAAAATTTAACAGTCTTATTCAAGGTAAAAAGTTAGTGGTTATGAATGAAACCAGTATGTCTAGTGGGAAATGGCATAAATTCAATAGTCATCTTAAATCCCTTATAATAGAACCAAAAGTGTCTATAGAACGTAAAGATCTTGAACCTATCCATTTAAAAGATTATTCAGCATTTATGGTCACAAGCAACCAGGATGCCCCACTTAAAATAGATGGAGAAGATGCTTGTATAGTTTGTTTTGATGTGTCCGCATGCTGTAGAGAGAATATACTATATTTCAAGCGTTTGGCTAAAATACTAGAACATCCTGATGCACCAGGGATAGTTATGACATATCTTCTTAATCGTGATCTTTCAAATTGGGTCCACAAGATATCCCCAGCACTAAAATGAAAACGAACACAATACTGGAGCATCTTCCCAACAACATTCAATTTATAATTGATTATATTTAACCATAGTCTGAGGATCAAGTTGATATACAAAGTAGTATAGTATTATATCAAGAGTATCGGGCATGGTGTGAAGCTAGTGGTAAAAAACCATTTAGTAATAATATATTAGATAAAAAATTTACACAGATTGGTGTCGAACACAAATGGGCAGGTAGTGGAAAAAGAGAGTGGCAGTATATCCTCAATCGCCCCAAAATTGTAGCTAAGTTACGTAAATCAGTTGGCGATATCGAAGAATTTTCAGATGCACCTTAGGCCAAAATATCCACCAACATATCTACAGATATTCCTGCATTCAATGTACCTCAAATTGTTACACCTTCCAAACCAGAATATTTAGTTGCTTCGTTATCTAAGTTTACTAATATATCTACGACCCCAGAGACCGAACATGTAGAACCATCAGATAATAAATCTAAATCTCCAGAAATTATTGAACCTAGTAGTGATGAACCCAAACCCAGCAATGAAAAAGTCAACACCCAATTGAAAATATACCCACCTGGATATATACCCCGAGCAGAAAGAGAAAAACATCTCAGGCAATAGGCAGTTAATCATGATGAAGACTCAGATAAGTTCGTTACTATTACTGAAAAAGATGAAGATTTGGCACGTATATATTGTAATAGATTATGTTCAGACGCAGACATGATCCAATTCACGAAAGATACCAATGATGATTCAAATACATTAATGGATATGTCTAGGCAAGAATATTTAATAAGTGAAGAAATTACGCTTCAAATGTTTAAAGACGATGGCGAGTACTGGGTAAGTAGCTATGATGACGAGGAATGGAAAGAAAAAATAACATACTCCAGGGAAATGGATATCTATAGTAAAATTACTATATATATATTAAGAAGTGAATAGGTGAATTTCGCAAGTAGGGAGATTTTTTGCTCCTATTGCAAAGCAATGGGCTTCACCTTACAAACTAGTTAATATAAAATTTTCAGATAAAAAAAAATATTATGCAAATTCTGTTATATATACTAATTTTTGTGATGCCTAAAAATGATATTTGGAAAGATTTTAGTTAATTCTTTATTCTCAACTTTGATTTTAAATATGAAAGTGAATATAGAATAATAGTGGAGTTAGTGTCAAGATATATAAAATACCTTGTAATTGGTTATTAGTTGGAGACGCCAATCTATGTAAAAATCCAGCAAAGGGGCAATATTGTGCTTCCCATGCATTTAAAATTTAAAAGGGTGTAATAATTCCCCAACCATATAAAAGATATAAACAAGGGACTAAATCAAGTCTCTAGCTTTGTGTCCCGTGTAGTCAAGGCAGGAAAAGAGCGTATAAATACTATAAACAGAAGTGTATAAGAGAAACTCTGCGTATTTAATATCTGTATATGCAAACTAATTTACTAGATAAGTATTATCATCTATTTTTCCTATTGCAAAGCAATGGGCTTCACCCTACATAATCCAGGTCTTTGAAAAACAATCAATTAAACTTATCATTTTCATAAGTAACAATCAACTATTATCATTTTCATAACTAGTAACTCCTAATAGAAACACCCCAGAAAGTAGTCAACTTATTAACCAAGAGAGAGATCGATCACAATGGGCCAACATTCTGCAAACTAATACGCAATGGTTTTAGGTATGTAAAATATTTAGCAGAATTTCTACAATTACCAGATATCATAGATTATTATTATCCTGAGCAAATTAGATTCATGAATGTTCTGTCCCATCCAGCTATGATACCACTGATTGATATAATGGAAAATAGACCTGATATTTACAAGAAATGGTCCATAAATATAGAAAAATACCAAAATCTATTCCAAGCATTATAAAAAATAAAATTAAATCGTAAATCTTAATTTAGCCTAAATCGCAACTCCAAGGCTATAAATTTTTTTATTATATCCTATATATTAGTAAATTTCAAATCAATATCCTGGTTACTCTATAGATATACATAAACTCTTTTTTTCTGGGTATAGAAGAAAAAAGCGTAATTAATTTTGATTTGAAAAAATATTCACTATAGTGAATATAACCTACTTGACCTACTATAATATTCAATCATGTCAGCTATTGTAACTAAAATTGTTGAAAAATACAATCTTAGCCCCAAGATGAGTGTGTTTGACCTCAGTAAATATACCTCAGAATTTCTTAAAAACCTTACCGATGATAGAAAGTGGAATCAAGGTCAATGACGTTTTTGGGATAGTTTTAAATTTAGCAGTAAACAGGTAGGTGTATTAATACCTAATCAGAGAGGTGGGAAAAATAAAACTATAAATTTAGTTGAAGGTAATTGTAGAATGTAACCAAGCTTCCAAAAAGTTCGGAAAAAGAGATCATCAGAGAGATAACTAAATGAATCTTACAGAATAGATATGGTTTTAGTGAAGGCCAAGTGAATGACTTATTCTCTATTCAGAAAAATGTTCAATCCAAAAGCAAAATTACGCACAAAGTGCCCTGTTCCACAGTAAACATTGTTATTTCTAATCGGGTCCCACAAGAAACAATTGGAGAGATGACGCATCGGCTTTTTCGGAATAAGCTTAGTATTTGGGATATAAGAGCCGAAGCTTATACCTTAGCCTTATCAGCAAAAAATGCCAATGCTGGTTCATCACGTCTTTCCCGACTCTAAAGAGAATTAAAAAGTCTTGGTGCTTTATCTGCAATAGTTGAGGCCACGAAATTTCCAGATATTACAGAAGAAGCTAACAAAATCCAGAGGGATAATCAGAAAAAGGCTGAAGCTAATCGTATTAACTATCCAGATCATTTTATGTTAGAATCGGTCAGAGAAAGATTGGATGGTTATGATATATTTACTTTACCCAACTTACAAGCTCTCACAGATATTATGGTGATGCTTTGTATTCGTCCTGCTGAACTTACAACTTTGTGTATTACAGATGCTAGAGTAACGGGATATGCGAAGAATCGGGGTCAACTAGATATTCCTAGAAAATTTAAATCTATAGAGAAGAACCAAGAACGAGCTAAGGAACTACTCACTTGGATACAGAATTCTATATCTTCTGGTCAAATGGGTAATCCAGGTAAGCCAGAGGTTAAATGGTTCAATAGATTCTTAAAAGATTATAATCTAATTCCCAAATACTTACAAAAAATGGGTGCCGTTTATGGTGTAGTAGCGTATAAGGCTAAGAATATAGCCCACGCTTATACAATTGCTGGAGAGTGTTTACGTCACTCATCTGACAACTATACTTCTCCTGTGCAAAACTACATTGTGGTAAACTACAGGCCCCGTAGAGTTAGTGCTGATCAAGCAAGACTATTCCGAATCTATGATAAAGATTAATCATCATTAGACAATTCAGAGCTCGACCCAGACCTAGATAAAGGCTAATTTTTTTATTCACGATTGCCAGTAAAGATCGAGCGATTCTCTTATACTAAATAATTCGTGAATAAACAGATCGCCAAATCCGAAATTACTAATTTTTTGATTGTAGTGTTTTGTGCCTAGACATATTGATCTGTAAAAATTGCTAGATGCGGAGCATCCTCATTTCATGAGACATTATAAAACACACATTATTTGGTTTAAATATAGCAATAAACAAAAAACTTGCAAGTATGAATATTACATGCCTTAAAACCCTCGCATTGAATATTCTTAAAAATGGTTCTCCTGAAACTATTGCAAGTGGTGTTAAAGTTCCTGAACTAGATTCGTGTTCTATATGCAATGAAGAAATTTTTTTGCACATACTTAAAAAGTTATTCACTGTATTAACATGTGGCCATACTGTGCACCGTCTTTGTCTTGAGAACCTTAGAGAAACTATATTTACATGTCCTGTCAATAATTGTAGTGCGAAAATCGAAATCATTGAAAAGTCACCACTAATGCGGGCTCTATCACAAAGGAGTATGAGCATAGATGAAGGATTACAAGATTCATTAATATTTGGTAAAAATTCTTTAGTGAATCTAGATACAATTGTAGAAGAGAACTCTGAATCTGGCATACCTGACTCTACTACAAGTAATTTACCATATAAGCATGTTGGTGAACCAACAGATAAAATATCAAGTAAGAAATGAAAGCAGGCTAAGAAAGAATCACATATATTAAAAGATCTTATAAGAAAATTATCTACCAAACCCAAAACTCCACAAGCCCCTATAGTTAGAAAAAAAAATGCTGTTAATTTTGACGATTTATATAATAATATAACCAATGCGGAAACTCAAAATGAAATTATGAATCAAGATCTTATAAGGCCATACAAACTTATACTATTGGTTTTCATATCACCAAGTAATTTCTTGTGACCCGGCGACCCGGCTTTTAATTTTATTTTCAAAAAATTTTATATGTAAAAAACATATAAAATTTTTTTACAAAAATTTAAAAAAGCTCACCCGGATAATAAATATAGTAAAAAATTTTTTTCAAACTTTTGTTGAATTTGACCCGGCCGGGTTATGAGAACCAATAGTATAAGTTTGTGTGGCCTAACCTGTTATTATCTCTTTGGTAAAGTTCTATCAGAACGGCTTGAACATCACAAGAAATCTAATCCTCCATATGCTTCTTTGTTGTTAGTTAATAAAGTTAAAGAACAAATTCCCAATATTATGGATACTACATTGTGGAAAAAAATAGAAAGATCACGAAAAATTTATAAGCTCTTTCTTAATATCAAAGAGGATAAGATTCAAAGAGTTAGATCTTTCAGTGCGTTGACCATTTCAAAATTAAGAAAAGAGGATATTGATAGTATTATACTTACCATTTTGAAACAAAAAAACCAATCTACTGCGCCAGTCACGTGAGATCACATGTCCTGACCTCGGGGGTCAGGATCTTTTTTTACTTATCAATATATACTTATCTATAAAATTAATAATAAAGTTTTTATCTTCGATTTTTTAAATGTGTTTATTCAAGATTTTTATCTGCTCAATTATCTAATTATGAGGCTTATAATTTGTTTGTAAGACACAATGAAAGATCAGAATAATATACTTAGATAAAAAAAGTCGAAATTATATCGAAAAGTAGCATATCTTTAGAGGATGGAAGCACAGATGTAAGGTTTGTGACGAATACAACCATCATTCACATCATCATCACGTATCTAACATATTTAGAATTTTAATATACAATTTATATTTCACCATAAAAAATAAAACTCAAAATTACAATTATATTGCATGATTTGTAAAGTAAATAAAGTAATTAACTCGTTTTATTTTTATATGTTTGTAGTAACATTCGTGATTTCATGATCAAATAATAACTTCATATGTGAAATAAAAAAAAAATAATACGTTTTGAAATTTCTTAGTTAATTACTGTTGTAATAAATCATACTGAAATATAAAGTGCCTTAAACTAATACCATCATGTTACTACTATTGATTCGCTTACTTCAAAAGAAATTGACGAATTTTGGTTAATGCAGTTAACACTGCTATTCTTCCCTCTGGGTCTGCAAGATCAAGACCACTTAGTTTTTTATTCTCTCCTGGCCATCTTTGTATTGCAACTGAATATTTTTCTGGTAAGCCTATGCTAAGCTCATTCCAATATTTCTTAGGAATCTCAGCCTTGTAAAATGTAACATAGGTGGATATAAAGCGAACGGCAAATAAAACCTGATCAGAAATCTCACCAGCCTCGAATATGTTTTCATTACCGCAAGCAAGTATTTCGCCCGCAATTTGCATTTCTCCATATTCATTTATAGGGTCTCTAACGTTTCGTAAACTTTTATCCTGTCAAAGATATATTTAAGTAATCAAAGATTATTGACTTGCCAAACAATCAAAAAAAATACATACTTCTGTAATAACCATAGATATTGTTCCTTTTTTAACCACAAAGTCGGGAGTTGCCGAAACATAGGGCTCATTTAAAATATATAGTTTACTTTGTGGATGTTGTCTGATTTTGATGAAAGAAAATTCAAGAAGTCATTGGAATACGGTAATAGGACACAGGCTATTTTCAAAGGATAATAATTCAGCCGAACGATACGAAGAAGATCAGCAACCAAGTCACCAGTGCTGGACTCAGGTATTCCTGGTGGGTTTCTCGTGACGATATGTAGTTTATCAAAGAAGGTTTGAACGAACCCATCGGAAAAATCACTTATTTCTCGAACTTTAAATTTTGCTTTATCGAGCACATCTCTATTTATTTTGGGGCAAATATAGTTTTCTGGAAAATCTTCGATTTTTTCATTAGGAATAACGAGATCTTCGGATGCTGGCTGAAATTTCACTCCCAGTGCTTCTACATCATTTTTCGTAAACTTAGATGCCTGAGTATTGATGTGATTCGGGTGATTAAGCAGGTTTCTGACTATATCTCGTGTATTCTTAAGAGTTGAGATAAATTTGACGAATGCAGACATAGAAACGATTATCGAGTAAGCCATGTGCAAAATGTAATTTTTATAGACCCTAGCCAATGGTGTAAATTGGATATGCGCAGCGTACATTTTTAGTATTTCATTGAAACATGTTAGGCGGCAGTTTTCTTAATAGCGCCTATTATTTTTTAGTTTCAGCATATAGAGCGCATATGAAATTAATGAGTTGCGCTTATAATATATGATTTTTATGGATAATGTGCGCTTTGCGCGTATAAAAAATTTTATAACACTGATCCTAGCGTTACCAATCTAAAAAAAATTCTAACGTTAGGGTTTGGGCGTATATTTGCTTTATATCTGATCTTGAAATTTGATTTGACCAGATAGCGAATTTTTTAGATTGGTAACGCTAGGGCAGTTTTTTTTTTATAGCATCTTCGAAGGCTAATTAGATTATCGGGTCATGCGCAAAGTGAGATTTGTTTTATGATAACAGAAAATTGTATTTTGTTATCTCAGACTCGGAACTAGTTATTTCTCACCTTTCTTTCGCTGTGTAAAGATAAAACATACAAGCGGAAAATTCGTTTAGTATTGCACAGTCGAAACGGAAGAGCGAATTTCATGACCAAAAAATACCAAAGGTTGTATAGATGAGAAATTAGGTTGCATGGGCTTACACATCGATTTACATGTCCGGATCAGACATTGCCGGTAATTTCCCTATGAGGCAATTCTGCTATAAATCTGTAACGTTGGTCATACTAATGGTATGTTTGGATGCTCAACAAATATTTGGTCAATTGTTCCAAAC